TTTTTTATTTTGTACAAACAAAATAAATATATTGAAAAATATAAAAACAATAAAAAATTATACTTCAGAAGTTAATTTAGTATCAAAAACGTAAAATATTTGAGTAGCCCAAGACATAGCCAAAGATTGCAGCGTCACAGCACTGGCAAAAATTTAAATTTGCTGACTGGAATTCTTTCGGATAATCAACGCTCTACTGTATTTTAATTCATTTGGGATTTCAAGACTACTTGTACTAAATAATTTGAATATTGTAAATTAAAAGATTATAAGTTGTATTTTTTTTTTTTTTATATTGATTATTTAAGATCTTCCTATTTTAGAATTATTTTTAAGAATGATCTTATGCTCCTGAATTTATTCTCATTAAAATAACCTATTGCTAGCATTTAACCACTAGAAATTTTCATACCTAAGTATCAGTCTTATTATACACGTATCCAAAATAAATGTTTTTAATGATATGGTTTTTCCAACCAACTTTTCAAAAATATCTAATAATTTATTGGGTCATTGCAAATGAAATGGCCATTTTTTAAAATTTAACCTTGTAGTTCAACTTTTTTCCATGTGAACAGTGCTGTATGTTTGCAATTGGAAAAGCACACATATAATATGTGAATTTTAAAATGTAATCTCATTTATATTGAAAGTTACACATGTTTAGGAGTTCTTTTTCTGATGGCATAATAAAAAGAAAATTGATTATTTTGTGTAGTATGTGAAGTAAATGTGAAGGCTTATCAGAGAACAAAATGGCTAAGGTACAGACCTAGTGCTCTGGGCTTTAAATCCAGTTTAAATTTTCTCATTCAGATACATTGAAACTCTTACCTCATCATTCACTCACCCTATTATAAGCTTGTTTCTAGCCACCACGCGTTGTGGCTCAAAATGTATCTATTATAAATGTATAACACTTCCCCCATGGGAGGAATTTTTCAAAAAATCCCTTAGTGTACATTTTCTCGATGTATCCTATTAAAACGCAAAAAACACATCTGAAATAGTATAATAGAAGCCAAGTTCTTCATGGTAAGCCTTAATCCTGTCCTTCTCCCCCGCGAGGGGAATATCGAAAAATCCCTTTGTAGTGTATATTCTGTTGATATACCCTACTAAAACGCAAAAAACCACATCTAAAATAGTATAAATAGAAGCAGAGTACGTTACAGTAAGCCTTAATCTTGTCCATCTCCCCCGGGGGGAATTTCGACATGTATATTATATAAAAACACGTGCGTATTCGAATGCGGCGTTGTGTCAAAATTTCAAAGGAATCGGTAGGAACAAACGAACATTACTAGATAGAAGATGATCCCCTTTAGTTCATTTTCACAGAAAAGCATAATACCTGGCAGAAAAGCAAACTTAGGGCGTCGTACTCGTAGCGCCATCTATTGGACATAAAAGCCTTAACCTAGATTATATATTTTAATTTATATGAATGTTTAATGGAATAATATACAATAACAATCCACGTTTTAAACCTTTTTTTACGCGTGTTATGTCACAATTAAATTCCACAAGTATGCTTAAAAAAAAGGTTTTTTTGTGGATTGTTATTATTCAACGCAGTGTTAAGTTGTTGGAAGTCGTTTATCTTAGGAATAATATACAGCCTATGTCCATCCTGAGGTTCCATTCTAAATATTGGTGAAAGAATTTTTGAAATCGGATGAGTAGTTTCAGAGATTACCTGTTGCAAACAAACTTACAAACATTACCTCTTTATAATATTAGTATAGATAGAGTGAATAAATCAGAAAATAAAAACATAGAGCAAGAAACAATAATGTTTGATTATTTTCAAATTTATAAAGTAAAAGAGAATATCATTTTGATTCTGTTCTGGGCTGTAAACAAGATTACTTGGTTACTTTTTATATACTGTATATAGTTTATATTTAAATTTTAACTTTATAATAATTATGACAATGACATTTTTTTCATTTCATTTAATTATTTCAGGGAGAAAAAAGAAGAAATTGAAAATTTGCAAAATCTCCAAAAAAGTATTCAAGCAGATATTAGTAAAATATCTCAAGCGCTTAATAATTACCAGTCTGAAAACAATAAGCTCACAGTCACCATAGAGAAAATTCACAGATCCGTTGCCCAGATTAATTTGAAAATTATCGAATTGAAAAATGCAGAAGAACCGGAACCCATCGATGCTAAAGTTCTTGTAAGCATCTTGACTTAAATTTTTCTTTACATTGTAAAAATATCATATTTACTGTTGGGATCTTAGGGTGTAAAGATCTCTAATCGTGAAATTCCCATTTAATCTCTCATCACAAAGAACTACAAGTTGGTTGGTTATAATGGTCCAGACTGGACTCCGGTCACATCCTGCTTGTTCAACTGACCCAACAAAAGACACCCCCGAATCTCATGCTCAGATGTAGGTGGACTCTTGGTCATTATGTTTTTTGTACATGCAAAGCTAACAGAGACAACACTTAAAAATTTTGATGTTTTTTAATTTCACAAATAAAAATAGCTAAAATTTCTATTAAATCTAAAAAAAAAATATCATTTTTAAAAAATGATTATTTAGATTTTAAATCATATTGAATAGTTAAATTTAAGACAGTCTGAACTTCATTGTTAATGTAATGATGAAATAGAAATGATTAATAGATAATATTAGAGAAAATATAAATAAAAATTAACACTTAAAGCACTGGGATGAATATATAAAAAGGGAGCGACTCACAATAACCAATTAACCAGAGTGCAAAAGATCGATATTTGTGAACATTTTATAAAACAATTGTTTGATATTATTTAAACATTTTGGAATGCAAGCACATATTACATCCCAAATCGAATACCATTTGATAGATATACAACGATTAATGGCCAGCTTGTTTGGAATAAAAAAAGAAGCCTGAGGAAGAGCCCAGAAGGGGCTTCGAAAATGTTTGCACTCCAGTTAATTGGTTATTGTGAGTTGCTCCCTTTTTATATAAAAATTAACAAGTTGAATATGTTAATATTATTACATAATATTCAAAATAATAATTGCTGGAATAAAGATCATTACAAAGCAAGAAAAATATCAATCAATCAGTAAAGATTGATTATTTTACCAAATTTTGTCTAAGAAAATATGAACATTTACATCTATATGTATATATACACTGGTACCTTGTGCTTCAAATGACTCTAACTTCAAAACCTTAACAGTTTGAATGCTAAATTTGACAAAAATTTACTTTTGATGTTCAAATTGTGTGTTTACTAGAAAAATGTATTCAGAGTGTAATGTACTCTGTTTTGCACCCAAGTCATCTCCTACTCTCACATTACACTATGTTTTCAGTGCATTTTTGCTTGTTTTATTTTTGATTTGTATAGTTATATATTGTGAGAAACCAAGGGTATAGGTGTGATACCTATATCACTTACTGGCGCATGATCGTGAGATCAGCTCTCTAACTTTTTATAGGAGGGCAAGAAAATGTTTAAAAATGATCTAGAGGGTGAATTCTAGATCTTGTCAGGTCCCGACACCAGTTAATCTCATTTATATCCCGCGGATTAACACGCGAGTAGGGTCTGATTCAGGAAACAATCCAGAGACATGCCTTAAACAGTAAAGTAGTAAAATTTAATAAATCTAAAAATAACAATATTCTGCAGAAAGGGAATTAGATAAACAATCAAATCAAACGATCAAGACGACGAATAAATTGCTCAAACGTGTCAAGAGAGAAATATATTCTTAACCTATACGTTTACGACAGAGAGAGCTCACAATTCCTTAAATAACCTACAACCTGTTAAATGGCTTTGTCGTCTTCTTATCGGTGAAGGTCCTTCATTGATAACTTAGGATTAACTTGATAGAAGAAGACTATGGCGTTGGTCTGCTGGCATATGTGTGGAGTCCTTTCCACTCTCCGATCTACGGACGAACTCTTAAGGGCGTTGGCCTTAGAGAGCAAATGAGTGGAGTCTGGTCACTCTCGGATCTGCCAACAAACTCCTCGAATTCGGCTGAACTTTGATTATATCTTCGGATTTATGACCAATCCTCATATTAGGATTCTTCCACGTGGACAGATGGGAAGGGGGAGAAATGAGGGGTAAACAGTTCCCATTGAAGCGAGATTTTTAACAGATAAGAGAAAACAGAGGATGCTCATACTTCCGTCAAAGGAAGTAACTCTCTTATCTGCTTTCCCATGCTAGAAAAACGTTATTTTCCCATCAAAATGAAAGAATAATTTTCTGTAAAGGGTTTACTTTAATTTTAAATTATTTTAGACCCGGGGCTATTTGGATCTCACAATATATATATAATGTATTATTCCATTTTGTGACTGTGTTCATTAACTGAAGCAATTTTTCCAATAGAAATTAATGCAAATACAATTTATCCATTCTAGCCTCTGGAATTTTTGTAATTTTATTTGTAAAATGGGTTTTATTTGATGAAAATATAGGAAAACATAGTATCTATCATTACAGCAACAAATATGTTAACTTTATTTAATAAAATAGCTCTATGCATACCTTCATTTGTTGTAGTTAATGGCAGAGAAGTGGAGATATACGGAGCTTAATGCTTGGAAGGGAAATCCTCTTCATAAAAATATCAGGTAACATTAGCACTGCATCAGATTCTTTGAGTTGCGGTCTCTTTTGTTGGGGAACAAGAAAGTGGTCTAAAGTTGATTGTATTACTCTTTTAATCAAAATTGTCATTTATTAAATTAATGGCCCTATTAGCCACAACTTTGTTAAGACAGTACTTCTAGATAAATTCTTGCACATTATCCCATTTTCTGCAAATTTCTTTGATCTCAGCTCTGGTGATTTATTCTGTAACCTTCTCTTCCTCTGATGAATGCTCTTGTAAGACTTACGTGTTCTTTCTGCAAGGCAACCAGCTCTTCTATGGTTAGTTCATTTTAATGGTCTTTCATCAACTCCTCCATGTCTGCATCATTGATCTCTAATCCCAAACTCTAGCCAATGGACACAATTTCATGAACTATGTCTGGAGAGCTCTCTGCTTCAAATTCCTCAAAGTTTTGCTCTGGGACGAAAGTTGGCCAAAGCTTCCTCCAGGCCAATTGCAAAATGCTGTGAGAGACCTTCACTCTAGGCTTTGTCAATAAGGTTGATACAATACAGGATGTTAAAATGCACCTTCCAAAAAGTCTAAGGGTTAAGTCAGTGTCATTGGTGTACAGCTTTTTAAAATTAGAAATCACTTGCTGATCCATTGGCTGCAGTAATGGAGTTTCATTGGTGGAAGGAATTTGACCTTGATGAAGTCATGCTCACTATCCAAGTCTTCTTCCAAACTTGGTGGATGTGCTGGGGCATTATCCATTAAGAGAAGACATCTAAGAGGAAGATCCATTTGCTGAAGATAATTTTTGATAGTTGGAGTAAACACTTCTGGAGCCAATCCATGAATAAGGTCTGAGTTACCCATGCCTTGCTGTTTACCTTCCATTGTTCAGGCAGTTTTGACTTTATCACATTATTGTTCTTAAAGGTGAGGGGATTTTCAGCATTGTAGACTAAAAGTGGCTTGATTTTGAGGTCACCATTTGCATTAGTGCAAAATAAAAGGGTGAGCCTATCCTTCATGGGCTTGTGTTTGGGTAGTGCTTTCTCTTCTTGGGTTATCTACATTCATCTAGGCATTTTTTCCAGAAAAGACCAGTCTTGTTGCAATCAAACACTTGATTTGAGACATATCCTTCACTTTTTACAAAAACTGCAAATTCATCCACAATGCTTTTGCTGCTTTTTCATCTGAATTTGAAGCTTCCCCATGCGTTATGACACTGTGAATGCCACTTCTTGACGAAACCTATCAAACCACCCTCGGCTCGCATTAAAGTCCTGCTCATCTGCAGTTGTACTGGATGTCTGGGTCAACAAGTCACTATGTAAATTTTTATTCTTTTCACAAATTATAGCTTCATTAACACTGTCTCTAGCAAGTTGCTTCTTTTGATCCATATTAGCAGCAGTTTTTCAACTATATCTAAAACTTTAGATTCTAGTTTTGATATCACATTCACTCCTTTAGCCACTTTGGCAGCCTTAAATGCTTCTTTGTTTTTAATAATTTGTAGAGATTATTATATTCTTTAGCAATGTCAGAAACACGAATGCCATTCTTGTGTTTTGCAATAATTTCTTTCTTTAATGCTATGCTAAAACATTTTCTTTTGCCACTATCACTTTTCTCTTTCTTGGGTGCCATATTAATTAAATATAAATCACAAAACTGAAAAGTTTGGCACGAACACTCAGAAAAGCAACATTTACCTCATGCACGCCTAACAGCAACTAAACATTTGACACAAAAAACCATTACATTTGTTATCCAAGACAAAATTTTTGCAAAATAAAGGTTTATTAACTGAGGTTCCACTGTATGACAATTTAGAGTTTAGGAGCATCTTCCTCATACATATTACAAATTTCTTTTTACTCATAAATTAAAACACCTTAATTTGTTGCTGAGAAATCTATTTTAAAAACAAACGTTTTCAACCTGATTAACAGGCCATCCTCAGGTCTAAAAAAACGAAAATGGAACAGATACGTTCCATGTATAGAATATAAATATTTAAATCAAAATTTAATGTTTCTTTTTACTGTTTGTATGGCATTATATGCTTTATGAGTTTCAGAAAGCATATAATATTCAGAAAACATATTCAGCATCCAATATGCTTTTCATCCATTTCAAATTTATTTTATTTAAATAAAGTGTGAAGTAAACAGTTTAAAATAAGCTTCTAAACAAAGGATTCAGTCTCACATTAGCAAGAATGTGCTGAATTTCAAATTATTATAATTAAATCACACAACTATGTAAAGTAGTAAAGGTTGTTAAAAATATGCAAAAACTTTGTTTGATTCAATATAACCTCTACTTATTAATAATGATATTCAAGAAGTGTATGGAAGCAACAAAGTCTGAGAAGGTTGTTATATTGGTGATTGAGATGAAAAAAAGAACTTATCATGAAGCATGAGAGAGGTGGTGCATGTGGTAAATCTGGTGGCCATGTTTAAGATGACAAAGTCAACAGTGTAAAACTGGTAAATGCAGGATTCTGATGCACCTGGAAAATCAGGGAATTTGACAAAAATTGTCAAAAAGTCAAGGAATTTGCCTCCTTGGCTGCCTTGTTAATTTTT